TCCTCGAGAGCCTGACGAAGCTGATCTTCGGTATATTGAGGCATTATATATAGAAGAAGACATGTGCAAAAGATGAGCCCATTTGGACGCGAATTGAAAATGTTGTGATAAAAGGAGGTTGGGGGTGGGCATTGGGTTGTGGTGGATTTTCGCGTTTTTGTGGGTGCCAGAAACAGGGGGGTGCCAGGAAGTGGGTATGTTGACTTAAGTAATAGGATTTGGCAGCACGGGGATCGTCAGCTTTCAGTGGTTTCATTAATACGAGATTCGGATTTGTTATAGTTTCGGCTCTTTGAGAAGAGTAATTAGTAGCAATTGATGCCAGTCTCAACTTGGCATATCTACCGAACTCGAGGGCCGCGATGGCAGTTGCTTCACCTTGGATGTCAGATGATAGGTAACATACTTTGCTATATAGATGATTTCATCAGTAATCAAGCTATATCTTTACATTGTATCAAGTTGCAGGACTTAGAGTAATGGTACGATACGGAGGCTCAAATCAAGATCCAAGACGGACTGGTTGTTTCTAGTATCAGACTTTCGAAGCCGCCTAAGGCTGCGAAAGAAATAGGACTTTTATTGCCATTTAGATCTTTGCTCGTTCATCTACTTTACAAACAGTGAGCCCGTACAAGTACCTTACGTCCACGTAGTCCCGCGTGGTGAAGTCAAATAACCCATGCATCGACGGTGGCGCAGTCCACGATCGAAAACACCAACGCTGTTGGGGCGAATCATATGGGCCGCCAAGTTGTGAGATCCGGGAGAAAAGGTCTTCGCAATAAGCACATACTGTCCCCAGCGGGCCGGAACTTCCAATAAGTTCTCTTATCTTAGCACAACGTTCAGTTTACTGCCGCCAAGTTCAAGAACATTGCCAGAACCCTACAGAGTTGTGCCTTGATTGCGGATCTAACGAGGCGAGGAGCTGGCCTCAACCAGGATATTAGGGTTGGCTGCTAGATCCCCAGGCGAGGAGCGATTACAATTATCTGCTAGAAATACGCCGTAGACAAGGGACTGATGCTCCCGAGACTGTCGACGTGCTCAAATCGGCGCCCCAGTCGTCGATGTCGTCAGCTGCCGCCAGGAGCGGACCGGCGGGCGGGCGGTAGGCGCACATGCGCGAGTCGCCAGCTGAGACTGTTGATGACGACGCTCGTCTTCTTCGCCGCGAGAGGAGAGAAACGTTGTGATGACCTTTGGAATGTTCACTGCCCCGCGGGACCGCCGGTATCATCGAGTCGACATTGCAAAAAAAAAAAAAAAAAAAAAAAAAAAAAGGTCTAAGCCTATCATCAAGGTTGTTTCTTTATGCCGACGCGCTGTTAAGCTTGACTTCTGAAGGGGGCGTTTCTAGGCTCATGGGAATGTAGGTTATAGCTTAGGGGCGATAAAAAACCCTAGGGCGTCGCGGGTAGAATATTGCTTACAGGGCGAGAGGACACTACCCAAGGGGACAAAGGGAGACATTGGTAGACAGCAATTGGCGTCGAGGGCGGGACTGAAGAAAGTGAGGGAAATGTCTCGGGTTTTGTAAAGCATGCCTGTCGTGCGACGCGCACTTACAACGGGTTGTGGGCGGTAATCGTGAGAAGTACTAAGAAGGTGACGAAGCCTTGTCCGATTGACCCACGTCGTCGCGCATTCACAGAAATTGGGTATAGATTCCGTGAAGTTCATTGCTCTGGGCTGCTGAATCGTCACGCTTGCGTTTGACGCGAGGGATGATCCGGACACGGTGGACTCGGACTAATACTATCACCACCATTACACTGGACCCCTGACGGAAGCCACGCGAGAAAAAGAACCGCAGTCGTGTGGAGTTTATCCGCTGTTGTGGGATATACGTGTTTCGAAACATTTTCTGGGGAATGCTGGGAACATGTGTGGGTAACCTCGAAACAGAGTTCGGATGAGGAGAAAAGATCGACACTGACAGCGACCCATTTGCGCGGCGTCATGGAATAATGTGCCCCGTCCGGCGAGGGGCATCCGAGGGGAACGGGTATCACGCAATCTGCGGCTCGATTAACGTTCGAGGAGTCAAGACTTGCGGCTCAAATTCGCACAGAACCTGTGCAGATCCTATTGACCTGGAAACTGGACCAAAAGAAATTGATGAAGAAAAGAAGTAATGCATAAGGCTAGGGATAAGCAATAAATGGTCAGTTGCCCTCTCCTTCCAAGACTCAATTGTGTAAAACATGGCTCGCGAATAAGTGAGTGTGGCGGGTCAGAGACATGTCATCCGGGACTGATGAATATCTCTTGTCATTACGGCTGTCTTGTCTCATTCAATGAGCGCCCCGTCTCAAGCATCGACAGCTGTCGAATTCGATGACACCTCAATGCTCATCCATCAGCGATCGTTAAGTCATCAGGCAGTGTCTCGCGAAGTAAGGACGAATTAGTCTTAATTATTACACATGAATGTGAATATCATAACAGTGACAGACGAGTGCCAATCAGAGCTGGTCGTCATGTCTCCCATCAAACCGGTCATAAACATTTTCCCTTCGTAATAAATCGCTCCAAACCACCAGGCCCTTCGAGTGTCGTCCGCTTCCCAAGGCTCATACGTGCCGGAACAGACGAAAGTGAGATCAAGGCTACAATCAGAGTCCCGAAGAGATCGAATGAATGAGTGATCAAGTCCATTGAATTCGTAATCGAAGGGATCTCTGCGAGATCCGAAGGAGACGGCGGCGGTGACCGTGCGTTCCTATACAAGCTCGACTGGGGCCTCCTCCCACAGCCTCATGCCTTTTCCCTTCCTCAACATTGAGCCTCGAGAATCAGATGAATGGCCTTTCTCATCCCCTCAACCTTTCCATCTCCGCGTCGAACGAGACGTTTACAAGTCTGTCATAAGTTAGCATCTTGAAACTTTTCCTAGTTGAGTATATGGCAAGTACTCACCCTCGCAGTAGTCGACAGTGGTGGTGACAGTGACGGTGGGCTTGGGCGCAGTGGTGGTGACAGCGGTGATGCCCCAGCAAGAGCAGGCGGAGGAGTAGGCAGCAGAGTCACCGCATGAGGAGGCGTAGGCGGGGATAAGGGTGGGGAGGGCGGTGACCTGGCGGTTGGCGATCTCGCCGTTGCGGCGGAGACGGGCGGGAGCGGCAGTGACGGTAACGGTGACGGTGCTGGGTGAAGAGAGTTAGTTTCACGAAAAATCATCGAGTCGTTATGCTGGTAGAGAGGTCAACATACGTAGGGGAGGGGGTGACGGTGGCCTGCATGAAGGAAGAGCAGTCGGCCTGGCGGGAGGTGATGGGGAGGAGGCCGTCACGGGTACCAGTGACTTGACGGTTGCAGTTGTTGCCGGCGCAGGCGCGCTTCTCGACGACGGAGCCGAGAGCCAAGCTGACGAGGGAGAAGATAACGGCGGCCTTCATTTTGACGGTTGGAGGAGACGATCGACTGAGGTCCTAAGAGATGGATGGGAGTTGATTGGATGGATCTGGTAGGAAGTCGGTGGATGAGGAAAGGGGAAAGGAGGGAGGCAAAGGGAACGGTGACATGGAGACGAAGGCACCGTGATATATATCTGTGAGATGCGGGATGGGACCTCGACTGGTGTTGGGACTTGGTGGTGGACTGGTTCGAGTTGGACTGGGGGAACCGGGTCCCCTGCTCCTCGCAGACGGGGAATAACAGACTTGGGACGCAGATGCGAGCAAGTTTGGTACGAAGTACAGCAAACAGCTAGCCAGCGGGCTGGTTCAATACGAACCGCAGCAGCAGCCACAAGAATAGCGGAGTTCACCCGCCCATTCTGAGCAGCGCCCAGAAGAGGCGGCGATAGGAAGGGCGGGTCATCGACCGGGACCTGGGATGAACCGACAGGGGTGGGAGTGTGGTTATTCCAAGAGCCACGGGCAGCAAGCATCGTGGGTTTACCAAAGAGACATATTGGAGAGCTAGGCTCCCCCGGTACAGTGACACCCTGTTCCTGAGCACTAGACAGGACCAGGGGTCGAAAGAGGGGGAGCCCGTAGGGAAACATGGAAAAGCGAGGAAGAAGCGAACCGCAGTAGCTCCAGCCCGTTCAGCCCATCTCCTGGAGAAGGTTGCAATTCCCACCTATCAGCAGGCTGGACATCCGCATGAGGCAGGTTGGGAGAAAGTGTGGGCAGGCGGCGAACAGCAGGAACATGAAAAGATGCGCATCGTAGGTGAAGCGTGCGAAGTAGCGCAGTGTATCCGCAGCAAAGGTTGGCCCATGAGGATGGGGCCGAGACTGGGAGGAAAGGTACCTCTTAGCTGACGAGCAAGGCCGAGAGTGACATTTGATTTCAAGGGCACGAAGGGCTAGTATTCCGATGAGAAACAAAACGCGTGTGTTCTTCCGCCCTCGTGGGAACCTCGAGATTGATTTTCCAACGCCCCCTTGCCCACGCTATTACGGCGGGGGAAGCTGGTCTGATTCGGCCTAGCCCTAGTATTGACGTCGGGAATTCCTGGAGAGCCTATGAATGATGCCCGGGGGCGACGCCGGTTGCTTCGCCGAGAGACAAAGGGCGAGGATCACATTCTGGTTTGACTTCGCGGCCGGATACAAGGGAGGTTATCTGGAGGGTCATGTTGGGCAAACGGCTCGACTCTCATGAACGCTATCGAAATCTGCACAACGCGCGGCTTGGCTGGTGGGCTTCCGTGACCGGCTTGCAATTGGTAGTGACGGCACAGCGAGAGTCAGCTTGTGGCTGTTGTCTCTGCTATTCTGGCGTCGTAGAAGAATTCAAGGCGTCCTCAGCTATGTCGTAGATTTGGGGCGGCAGCGGGCGGTGGAAGCACAAGGGGCGGAGGCGAACGGATACCTAGACCACCCGTTCAGGCGCGAGTTTGACTTTGCTGTACGGCTACAAAGCACTATGGCTGCAGGCAAACAACACAAGAGAAGTCCGACCAGTCATCGAGCTGTTTCTTGCTTCGAACTTCTCAGTCTGCCAGTGCTTGGGGGAGCTGACCAGACTACTGGGATTACAGAAGCAACGCGTTGTTGGAAGCATTTTGGATCATCCGTCAATAGCTTATCCTAGCAACGTATTGATAAGTGAACTGTTGGATGGTAAGGCCGGGGAAGAAGCATAGATCTGGACTGCCGTGCCTCGATTTATCACCGTCTCGGAACTGGCTCGAGTCTGCACAGGAAGAGTAGACTTGAACGGCTGTCGGCAGGGTGCAGCGTCACAGCCTCCGGCAGGGTGTGTATTCGTACAGCGCGGGGAAATCCGATATGCAGAAGGGAAATGAGGAGAAGCAAAGCAAAGAGACGGTAAGTATAGGTATGCAGGCAAGGTCATGGGAGTTACATGGGCTCTATAAGTTGAATGTTGATGACGGGATGGGGAGCGAAAGCAAAGTCAAGAGCGAAGAAAAGTGCAGCGAGAAAGGAAAAAGGAAGAGCCCAAGTTTGGACAGGAATCGTTAGTGGCAGGGAACCCGCCAATTGGAACACATCGCTAAAGGGCCGCGCCGCCGACCTGCATTGGCGATGATGTTGTCGGTGATGATCCGATGCGACCCTCGGCCACCATCTCGCTCTTTTTCTCTCTTCAAACCGCACGTTGGCCTCCATGAGGAACAATGTCAGTCATGGATAATTTCGTTGGCACAAAGATCTCATAACCTGCATTCGTTTAGAAGTTTTGAGACTCTTCAAAGGCTCTTGGTCTCAATCGGTAGTTGACTGGAGATAGGCCAACCAACCCAAGGAACGAATGATTTAACCTCACCCGCGCGGTACAAGCTCTTCAGCCCGGGAAATTCATTCTCGTGTACAAAGCATCATTAGGCGATTACCTAGACCTGCCAACCGCCCTGCCCATCAGCCCATGGAGTGGAGGGGGGATGTTCCCCTCCCGATAGCCGGAGATGGCCATGCAATTGGGGGAGAACGGAAAGGGCACTCCTTGAAGCTTTTATGCTTATGAGCTGTGCTTGCGCACAACCCACCTCAAGGGTCCGCCGCCCGCTGTCGGGTGGTCCACCGTCCAGTCGGCGCAGGACAGAGCTATCGAAAGCATCAGCGTCGCAAGCCGAGACCCATGACAGCAAACACACTGTACCACCCCCCGTCCGCCATGCGACGGTTGTCAAGGTGTTCACCTGGGAAAAAAGCCTGGCAAAAACCCAGAATACAGGTTGGCAGCGCCGTAGCTCCCTTGCGCTGTAACCCTGACCCCGTCTCTATTGGCAGCCTCTGCTGACCGACCAACAGCGCAAATTACGGTGTCACCGTCAACGTCCGCTGTTAATGGTATTGAGACTGGCTCAGGCCTTCAGGTTATCGAGAGACATTATCAGGACGGAGACGATTGACCAGAATGTCTGTGCCTAAACACACCAAGAGTGCTCGTCAACCTGGGCGGCGCCATTCCCGAGCCGGAGGCTGGCTATCAGCAACGGATACAGCATAGTCTCCCACTCTTCCCAACGGCCAAACGGCGCCAGGAACGCGCCGCTCGATCTCATCGGCGCTGGCCGTTGGGACAAGGTAAATTCAACTTCCCTCTTTGCCTACTATCACCGCCAATCCTCCTCTATCATCAACAGATAGTCAGATACCAAGTCGGCACACCTCGAGTCATCGGCTGGGCCCTCCAACGATAACTACTCCTACGCAGTAGAGAGCGAGAAGCGGCGAGAGCCAAAAAGCTAATTAACAAGGGGAATCCCCCCAACCGAGCAAGCCCGCTTCACCGAAAGAGGCAGCTGGAGCAACTGGGGGGCGTGCCCAGAAGCGTGGGTGGAGGTTGGTTCGTTGGTCTCGCGCCGGCTGGGGCCTTTTGCTGGACTAAGCTTCCCAATTTCCACCGTTCCCGAGTTTTTCTTCTCTTTTTCCTTTCGAGCTTTTTGAGCATCATTATCTTTCCTTACTTTGCAAGGAAGGCCGTTGATGTTGTTTTGATTGACCTTCCTTCTGGAGTGGCACGTGGCGACGGCGTGGAAGTCTCCTTCAAGAACTTTTACATTGATTCACACCTGCTTAGCCGATGACTTGAGTTCGAACAGTCCAGGATTGAGTATTTAGGCTCTCATCCTCCTCTCCAGTCGCCACTCGATCTTCTCTCTCCCCTGGCCCAACTCCATCAATAAGGCTAGTCCCCATCGGCGCATCATTCCCGTTTACAGCCTAAGGTCAAGTAAGAAGCCCACCCGTCCCATCTCCGGCCCGCCGAGCTGCAAAAAATTCAGAGACAAAGAGTCGCAGAGATGGGAAAGCTGTAGCCAACTTTTCCAGTCGTTCAGGGCACATGTACACCTCCCAGCCGCTGAACCAGGCTCTAGTAGCACGTGTAGACCATGGTATGGACAAACCTCCGCCAGCCCAGGAAGCGAGGTGGGCTGCTCTCGGTGGATGGAATAGTCCAGCAACTTGGCGGACACAAGCACGTTGTCGCTATCGCAAAGCTCACTGCTCTGTTCACCGTTGGCCGCCATTACCCCTGCTCCTCCCATCCCCCAGGTTTAAATCCTACGAAAGATACGCGTGTGTCTTGGGAGATTGCTTGAGACACCTTCCTAGTCTTGATTATGCTCTAGCTTGCGCTCCTCCAGATGTCAAAACTCTGAACACCTGTTGGCTCCTCGGGACTGCACGTACAAACAGTGAGAATTCTCTACACTCAAGTCGAGATACACAAGGCCATGGGCAACGCCTTATGGTTGAGTAACGCTACGGGCCAAGTTGAAGTGTTCTCCTTTGACTTAGAATTCTTAATCAATACCTGGAAACTCAGTTCAGGAGACATGAGTCCAGGTAGCCAACCCATCAATACCGACACCGGCCTCGAGTTCATCTGCCTTGCACAAGGGTCAAGTGCATCCAACAAGAAGCACGCCGTTCCTCCTAGTAAACAAGCTCACTTTATCCGGCCGTGATAATCATCTCCCATCCCTTCCAAGTTTTCCTTTCTTCCCCTCGCAAGCTTCCCCAGGATATTTCTTCGGACATCAAATCTCCGCGAAGCAAAATCGTGCCCTCTCTTGCCATCCCCAGCTTCTTTTCCCCGCCCATCACCGCTGTTCCCCCAGCCCTCGAACCACAAAGCATGCACCTCCCCCGCACCGTCTCTCCTCAGTGACAGGTATCTACCCATCTTGCTATCCCCGGTGCGGACTAACGCCCCGTCTGAGCAACGTGCGTCTTCCTCCAAGGATTGATCAAGGCCGCATCTGATTGACGGAGGAGTCTGTCCCGAGGTCTAGTCTCCTTCTCGGCCTCTTGCTTCGACTCCAAATCCACGGTCCGCGGAAGAAATTATGTATCCATAGATTCTTGTTCAATGAAGTTGTTGGGGCTCCGTTCGAGATCCCGAGGAGCCGACATGCTGTCACCTACGGGAGAGCCGCCTCCCCATATTCACCTCCTTCCCTCTACCCTCCGCAT